CCCCAGCCCCGAGCTGGGGGGAGGGAGCCCGAGGCCCGAGGCAGGCGCTGGGGCGGGGGCTGCAGCGCGTCCCCCTGCCCGGGGACACGGGAGGGTGACATCGGTGGGGACACCAGGGGAGCAGGTGCTGCGGGACCCCTTGGCCCTGGTAGTGGCGGGAGAGACCAGGCACCCCCAGCACCCCCTGACATCCTCTGTGACACCCTGGCACCCCCCTGCACCCCGTGCCCACCGGGGGTCACTTCCCTGGGCACCCCCTTCTGTGCTCACCAGGGACAAGGGTGGGACACAGGATGACACTGCAACAGCCCACCCTGAGTGGTGGGGCTGGGGGGGTCCCACACCCCACAGAGCCCTACAGGGACCTGCTCTGGTGCCCCCAAAGCAGCGTGGCACAAAAAGACACCCCAGGAACTGCAGAACCATGCCCACCGGGGGTCACTTCCCTGGGCACCCCCTTCTGTGCTCACCAGGGACAAGGGTGGGACACAGGATGACACTGCAACAGCCCACCCTGAGTGGTGGGGCTGGGGGGGTCCCACACCCCACAGAGCCCTACAGGGACCTGCTCTGGTGCCCCCAAAGCAGCGTGGCACAAAAAGACACCCCAGGAACTGCAGAACCAGGACTCTGGGGTGCACGAGCTCGGCTGCTCTGCTCTGTCCCCCACACCAAGCCAGGGGTGCCTGGTAACACCTTGGGGTGTTTCCAGGGAGCTCCCCAGGGTGTTCCTCATGGAGCTCCTCAGGGTGCTGCCAGGGAAATCCCTGGGGTGCTCCTCAGGGTGGAGCCCCCCTGGGGGGCAGACCCAGCCTCAGGCTGGTCCCTCTCACGGCTTTGGAAGGGTCAAGGCCACCTTGTTAAAGCAACCACCATCACCTTCCTGCTGTGCCCCCAGCCACGGCCTGGCAGGGGGTGGCACGGGGTGGGGGGGGAGATGCTGGAGGAGCCTCTGGTCATGGCAGGGAGCAGGGGGGGAGCACTGGGCTGAGCTGGGGGGGCTGTGACTGCAGTGTCCTCCCTGGCAAGGGGCTTGGTGCAAACATCCCCTTTTCTCCCCACGTACCCTGAGCCTGTCACAGCACAGACATCTTGATACCCCTCAAGGACTTTGGCTGCAGATTTGCCACCAGCCAGGACTGAGACACATCCCAGAGAGGAGCTATTTTGGGCTGGTCTAGATACCAGTGATGAGTGAGCCTGAAACACTCCAGCTGCACGGGCTGCTCCTGGATCTTGATCTTGAGGTTTTCAGAGTCTTCAGGGTCAGGAGGGCAAAACCCACCACTTTATTCCAGCCCAGCTGGGGGTTGCAACCCTGTGGGGTCACACAGCACCCACACCACTGGGCTGGGGGGACACTGTGGTGGAGTTGGACATGCCTGGCACAGGGAGATGCTCTTGGCCAACTCCCAAGGACCACAAGAAGTGTGAGAGGCAGCAGGCCCCAGTGCCCAGGGGTGCTTGACACCCCAGGCTGAAACTTCTCTCCATCATAATCATCTCCAGCTCCTTCCCAGCCTCCTCCATGACATCACCCAGTGCCTCTGCCTTGAAAAGGGGCTGCCCCAAAACCAGGTGCAGAGGCTGGCAGGGTCCTACCTGCCCACCACCTACTTTTCCCCCCCTGACTCACCAGCTGTGTGTGACAGACCCTCCTTGCCCTCAGCTGGGCCATGTTCCTCACCCACCACCACCAGGTTTTAATGACACTTGCTGAGGTTAACCACAGCACCCACGGGAGAAGCCAGAGTCCCATTTCTGTGCCAGGTGCCCAGTTGCTCCTTTGACAAAGGCCACAAGGTCAACATCAGCTTTTGGGTTCCTCTGAGGTCACCTGCAGAGCTCTAAAAAACCCTAACCCCACAGGAATTCACCCCCCTGTGCTGCAGGAGCCCTGAAGGGACACACAGGAGCCAGGGGCAGGCCCGGGGACACGTCTGTCCCAGCAGCTGCTGCTCAACAAGGAGAAGCTCAGACCTATTTGCTCCTCCCTGTGCTAAGAACAGCAACGGGCCTTGCAGGGGGATCCTGCCACCTCCAAACCCTCTGATGGGCGAGAAAACCTTTCACATTCCCCTCATATGTAGGTAAAACCAGAGAAATAAGTAATAAGAAATAAGAAACCAGCTCTTCCAGAGCCACCCCTGGGTCTGTGCCCTTTACATAATGGGAAACACTGGGATCTGAAACGTCTCAGCTCCTTCAGTTGCTGGAGCTGATGGACCATCTGGCTGCAATTTCCCAGCTCCAAACTAATGAGCAGACTCTGCTTTCCAGGTGTGCATGAGGAAGGAGCCCCTCAAGGTCTCCTCAGGAGCAGGGGGGCTGCCATGTGAGCACAGGGAGGCTCCAGGTTTCAGCTCTGCTGCTCCTCAGCAACCTGAGATGTCTGGGACAGCTGTTGGGAGCAGAGGACATCAGAGGGCCTGGGGGCAATGCTCCATGTGAAGGGAAAAGGGGAATGTCCTGAGGGGAATTTTCTTTGGGGGACAAATCGCAGGGAAGAGAAGGGAACACCCCAAATACCAGCTTCCCAAAGCAGCCGAGAAAAAACCACATCCTCATTGTCCATGCAAATGAATGAAGAACCTGAACTGATCTCTGACCTCAAACCAGGACAAGCTTTTTCCAAATGGGAAAGCCCCCAGAGGCTGACACAAGAACTGTCTGTCCCTCCCTGCTGGACAGACATACCCACAGCCTCCAGTGACAGGTGCCCTTCCCCAGTGACCACCCTGGAGCACAGCAGGACCTCCTCTGGGTGCCCGAGGTCTGGGGTGGGACAGAGGGGAGGAGAGAGAGGGGCTGGGAAGGCCTGAAGCCTCCTGGCACAGAGTGTGGAGCAAGAACAAAGAGCATCCCTGCCAGGCCTCAGAGCTGAGCATCTTATTTGGCCCAGGGAAATTTTAGGGAAATTCACCTTTTCATAGAATAACAGAATCCCAGACTGGTTTTGGTTGGAAGGGACCTTACAGATCATCTAGATCCAACCCCCTGCATGGGCAGGGACACCTCCCACCAGCCCAGGCTGCTCCAAGCCCCATCCAACC